AGAAAGCATTCAGAGTCGAGCTTCTAGGAGTGAGAGTGAATGGAGCAGCAATGGCAGGGAAGGCAAGGGACCCTTTCGAGTCACGTTTGACAACAGGACTGTGAACAGGGATATCGGTCTGGCAGATACAGATAAAAAAAAGTCTCTGAAAGCATATGTTGGTTGCAAAGACTCAGAGGCTCCAGAGTCAAGGAGCCAGAGCAGGGAGCCCCAGGTCGAGCTTCTAGGAGTGAGAGTGAATGGAGCAGCAATGGCAGGGAAGGCAAGGGACCCTTTCGAGTCACGTTTGACAACAGGACTGTGAACAGGGATATCGGTCTGGCAGATACAGATAAAAAAAAGTCTCTGAAAGCATATGTTGGTTGCAAAGACTCAGAGGCTCCAGAGTCAAGGAGCCAGAGCAGGGAGCCCCAGGGAAGGGGCGGTGGGATTCTGTTCCTGCCTGCCAACACGGACCTCTCTGCCAGTGCTGCAGGTGCCCCTGAAGCCAGTCACCCTGGGTCCAGGCTGCTGCTTGGTGGGCCTGGCAGTAAAGGCCCCCGGGGCAGGGGCCGAGGCGGCACCGCTCGCAGGCTGTGGGACCCAAATAACCCGGACCAAAAACCTGCCCTGAAGAGCCAAACTGCTCAGCTTCACTTCCTAGACACGGACGATGAAGTGAGCCCCACGTCCTGGGGGGAAACCCGCCAGGCCCAGGCCTCCTACTATAAGTTCCAAAACTCTGACAACCCCTACTATTACCCTCGGGCCTCTGGGCAAGGCTCACAGTACCCTTATGGTGGGTATTCCCTGCAGTATCCTATGGGTCCAACCAACGGTGTGTACCCAGGAGCCTATTACCCTGGATACCTGTGTGGCCCACTCCCCCCCACTCCTCTGAGTCCTGAAATGGAGCAGCAGATGCGGAACATGCAGCAGCAGGAGCTCAGCAAACTCCTGCGTGAGGCTGGGAACCAGGAGCAGCAGCTCAGCAATCTGCTGTCCAGAGACCGGATCAGCCCAGAGGGGCTGGAGAAGATGGCCCAGCTGAGGTTTGTGGCTGTGCTGTAGAGGGATGTGACTGAGTCATTTCCAGGGTGAAATACCAGAGAATGGTGTCTCCTTGGGGGATCTGATATACTGAGGACATCAGTGTCTCAGAGACTGAGAGATGGGGCAGTGGGTTGGTAGTTTTGGATGTGCTGGCTGTTTGTTGTGCGGCAGTGGTGTGTGGGTTGGAAAGAAACTGGATGAGGATGTCATTTGCCTGGCTGGGGACTAAGTCATGGCTTCTTGTGGTTGTGGAATGCCAGGAACACAGAGAAACAGTACAAACACGCACTGCAGCTCTTGGGTACTTTTTGCTCTTGCTGGAGCTGATCTCTGTCAGTTCCAGTGCTCTCACGTGCTCTCAGTATTTGCTGTCAGACTTGTGCTTTCTTACCTGTCCTGAGTTTTGTGCTGTTGTGTTTGTGCTGTGAGCTTCAGGGACAGCAACTGACAGCATGTGCTGAGGAAGCAATCCATGGGTTCCTGGTGCTGTGTAACAGTGACAGTGCCTTTCAAATGTAGTTTTGCTCTTGATGTCACTCAACACTGTGACACTCCAGTGGGAGTAGCCTGGTGACACCAAGTTAACAAGAGAGAAGTGACACTGGTGCTCTGGGGTATAGTTAACACGGCTGTAGCAAATTTCTACTTGGCATCTTTCACATTTACTTGTGACCCCTGTGTCTCGAGGGCTTCTCTGGAGATTTATTTTCAGAGCTGACTGGCAGCAAAGCGAGCAGGTGAGCTCATTTCAGGGCTTGTTCTGTGTTTTGGGGATGTGCACTATAGACTACTTGGGAGGTTTATGTCTGTGCTTGAAGCAGCACTGGAGGTTTGAGGTCTTCCTCAAGGTGTTGAGGTCACCCAGAGCTGTTTGGAGGGAGAGGAAAGACTTGTACAGTGCTGCTGTGGCCTGTGGAAGCCCATCCTGCCCTGGGAGCATTGGCATGGTTGGCCCTGTCCCTGCTGGAAATGTCCCTCTGTCTCAGGGTGTCTCCTGGCTGTGTCTGAGTGTGTCCTGCCAGCCTGTTGTGGAGCTGCATGTAGGCTCTCGTCCTGTGTCCATCTGCAGGAATGTCCAGTTCTCTTGACTGGTGTTTGTGCTGTCCGGTTGTGTGTGTGCAAGGTTTGGGGACTGTGTGGGGTTAGGCAGCAGAACCTTGCTCTGTGCTTTGGGCAGGAACCCACCAGCATCGTTCTCTTATCCTGTCAGACTCTTTCAGGCACTGCCATCTGGCTTCACTCCAGGCTTTGCTATCTACGCTGTCATACTGTTTTCTGTAGAACTCGAAGCATTGTAAGGTTGCAGTGCTGCCAAGGCAGGAACATAAACTTGCCCCACATATTGCAGAGTTGTTTCTAGCCTGCAGCTATTTTATTAAATCTGTGGGAGGAATTCTGCTCCAGCCTCTGGGTAGGGCTGCGGGTAGCTGATGAGGGGATTGTGATTTCTGGGACTCTGAGGCTTTATTTCTTGTGGGTGTGATGTCCTTAATTTATTGAGTAAGGTGGGGATCATTTTAGTGGCAAGACCTTTGTTCCCCTCTGGTTCTTTGTGTGTTCCCAGCCCAGACTTTGTGCTCAGAAGGAGCAGAACCTGGCAGTGCACACTTGCTCTCTGTTAGTATCAGGACACACTTGTGCCTTGCAGTTGGCAGAACTGTAGCAGAGCTCCTTGCTCTTTGCCAAACCCTGATCAGTTCTGATGCACTCATACAAGGGCAATGGTCCTTCTGGATTTGCTCTCTGGGTGTTTGATTGCAGCAGCTCCCATCTCCCTCTGGGATGTGTGGAAGCACTGATTTGCCAGTGTTGCTGACAGCTTGTGCCTGCTGGATGTGAGCAGCAGGTGGTTCAGCACATGTTCCCTGGCAGCTCAAGCCCAGGAAGTTGCTGTTTTGTTGACCACTGACTGTGTTTTGCTGTAGGGTGGAGATGCTGCAGCTGTATGAACGATGCATCCTGATGGATATCGAGTTCTCAGACACCCAGAACGTGGACCAGTTGCTGTGGAAGAATGCGTTTTACCAGGTGATTGAGAAATTCCGACAGCTCCTCAAGGACCCTCAGGGAGAAAATGCCCAAGAAATTCGGAACAAACTGCTTCAGCTTCTAGATGAGGTAAGAAGAGAGAAATATCCCCAATTCCACTAAACCTTTAGGTAGGATTGGCTGGTGTTTAGAACGGGATGGTGTCATGGGGCAACTGGAGTAGGAATAAACAGAAGCATTCCTGGAGGGGTTTGTGCCATGTTTATCAAGTTTGCTTAAAAATCTTTCCATTAAACTGTGCAGATCTTTGTACTAGGTACACAGACAGACCTGAGAGGATGTTTTATAGAATTAGGGTAGTGGGAAGGGACTCTTGGAAGTCTATAGTTCAATCTGCTGCTGAAAGCAGACTCCTCAGGCATTACATCAGCTCAGTCTTGAAAACCTCGGAGGCTGGAGGTCCCCTGACCATCTTGTTGTGTTCTGAAGAGAAAACCCTTGGGGAGAGTGACCTCCTTTCTTGCACGTGGCAGGAGTGGTGTGGTGATTTGTGCTTGTCATCAGATCATATAACATTCAAGTATGTGTGTTTTGCAGGGTTCTTCTTTTTTTGATGGTCTCCTCCAAAAGCTGCAGGTGTCCTACCAGTTCAAGCTAGAGGACTATATGGATGGGATGGCCATTCGTAGTAAGCCTCTCAGGAAAATGGTAGGTTGGCTTCCTCCTGGAGACTTCTCATCCTGGTAATCCTATGCAACATGCTGAGCTCAGTCTGCTGCCCTTGCCAAGAGGCAGGCAGCTGCACTCTGAACAGATGTCAGTTTGTTTGCAGGGAATCTTTCTCAGCTGCAGGACAACTTCCTGAAACAACTCTGGCACATTAACATTTCTTAGCTTCCTTTGCAAAGAACATGTTTAGTACCAGCTCTGTGACCAGGGCTAATAAAGGGAAAGGAGTGTCCAGAGGCACCCTGACTTTTCCTTACATGTTGAACATCTCTTGTATCTACCTGGAATCCAGAATAATGAGCAAGGAAAGCTGGCACTTGTGCTGCCTCCCTGACGTGTTGCCCTGAGCTATGAGTGCAGGTGCAAGGGACAGCTGGGAAAGGATATTTTGGTCCAGCTCCATTCCCAGAGTGATGTATTTAACAGCTGTCCTCAAATTAATTGGTCATGGGCTGAACAATTCCCTTCTGGTGAGAGGTGGAACATTGTTGTAAGAGGAGGTGATTAGGGGGTTGGCCTGGCCCTACAAATGCTGAACCAGTGCCATGGAGCCTTGTCATTTCATTCTGCTGCCCTTTTGTGAGACCTTCAGTGTGTCAGTGACCTCCTCTTAGCTTTCCTCAATCCCTGTGAGCTCTCTAGGGCTCTGCAGGTCCCCCATGATGGACTGACTGCTCCTTTCCAGGTGAAATATGCGCTGATCAGTGCTCAGAGGTGTATGATTTGTCAAGGGGACATCTGCCGGTACAGAGAGCAAGCGAACGACACTGCCAACTATGGAAAGGCACGCAGGTAGGCACACAGGTGGTGTTCTTCATGGCAACACAGGGCACAGCTCTGCCTCTGGCTGCAAGGGATGGTTCTTGTTTCACACCTGAACTTGCCTCTAAGCCGAAGAAGTCTTTCCTCTCCTTTTTAAAGCCTTTCCACTCCTCTATTGTGTCACAGTCGTGTGATGCTGAAAGATGTAGCCTAGATTGTTTGGCTGTTCCAGAGAGCAAGCCAGCAGATCCATCCTCCCTCTAATGACGAAGCTGTCCTGTGCTGATTCTGCAGCAGGGTGGGTGGAGGCTGGCAAAGTGACTTATATTTTCTGGTGACTTTTCACCTGAGAAAAGTTCCACTATGTGTCCTTGTGTTCTGACTGCACCAGGAGATATTGGCAGTTGTTGCTTTCTGCCACTGATGGATTTTTCTGGAGCAAAGGCTGGGGAGTGGGGGGCAAGTGAGCCCAGTATGTGGGATGAGCCCTCAAGTCTGTGGAGATTTGGAGAGCAAGGCAGGGAAAGCTGCTGCGTTTGTGGTCTGTGGACATTCGTGGAATGTGCTGATATCTCAGGGAAGCTGTGGGGAGCACATAGGGTTCATGATGTGTTGATGGATCCATGTGGCATGATCTAAGCTGGAGAGTGGATAATATAGTTGAGGGGAAAATAGAGAAGAGAATAGAGGGATGAATGGACTGCCACTGAATAGATTCCTTTTCTCCTGGGATGATTATTAAAAAAAAAGGGGGGCTAAGGCACATGTAGGATTTGGTCCCAGCTGCCATGGAGCTAAAAAGAGGACTGAGAGAGAAACATTCCCTGAACAGCCTGTGCCATGTGCGTGAGGCTGCACAGGGAGTAGTGCTTGCTGGTCTGGCTAAACCCTCATGTTTGGGCTGAGCCAAGGGCTTTTCCTTCTGCAGCTCGATCTGCTCCTTGTCCCATGCCCTGTCCCTCTCTGGGCCAGGCACAGCTTGCTGCTGGTGCACTCTCCTGCAGGCAGAGGGCACTTGTGGAAAGGACTTGTTCGTTGTGGGAATGCCAACGCGCAGAACAGCAAGGAAGGCAGCCTGATGTCCTTGCAGTAACCCTTTCTCTCTGGTTCTTCCCTTCCCCAGCTGGTACCTGAAGGCTCAGCAAATTGCTCCCAAAAACGGGCGCCCGTACAACCAGCTGGCACTTCTGGCCATCTACACGGTAAGATGCTCATCGTGCAAGGATGTGCAGGCATGGGGAGAGCCTCTGGGATGGCTGTGGGATTCCATCTGGTGGAGAAAGGCATTGTTTAGGGCAGTGCTCAGATGGTTTTTTATAAAAAGAGAAAAAGCTGATGGCAGGATGTGCTGTGTGGATTCCAGCTGCTGTGGCTTGACGCAGCTTTGTCAGATACACGTCAGTCCCCCAGGCATTTTGGGGACTATTCTATGGGCTGTTGAGAGTGCAAGTGTTTTAAAAGTGGGTAGTGTTTAAAGTTTTGCATGAGATTTTTGTGCTCAAAGCCATCCACGAGGTTGCTGTTCCTGTTTGCCCTGTTTTCACTGAACCTGCAGGCACTGGTCTAAGCAACATCCACATGTAACTTCCTTGGGATTCAGTTGTGCTGGCTACTCCAGCCATGCAGGAAAACTGACTTCAAGGAAGATGTGACAGCAGATCATGGAACCATCATGCTGGGGCACAGGGACTCATAGGGATCTGCCCATTCACAACAGTGGAAGATGCTGGTTTAAAGCAGAGCAGAACTGCAGTGTTCACATGCACATTTCCTTCATGGCTGGGAAGGACCTTTCTGACAAAAAACCTTTGTGCTGGTGGTTGTAGGAAGCTGTGAGTGCGGATGGAGAGTTTAAGATCCTACTTGTTATAGTGTTTGATGTGTCTATCTGTCCCAGGTATTGAGGGAGAGAGAACATATATTAAGGGAGAGGGAAGCTGAAGCATGTAGGAGCTTTGGCTCCAAATGTCCCAGAAACAGTGGCAGCTCTTGAGCCTGGTTGTGTTTTTTGCAGAGGAGAAAACTGGATGCTGTCTACTATTACATGCGCAGCCTGGCTGCCAGCAACCCCATCCTCACAGCCAAGGAGAGCCTCATGAGTCTGTTCGAGGAGACAAAACGCAAGGTGAGTCTTGGAGCTGTGCTGTGGGATGCTGCGTCTGCCTGTGCTAACTGTCCTGTGCTGGAGAGCACAGAGAGGAGGGTGATGGTGGCTTTTGGACTTGGAGTCACTCCTTACCTACTGCTTAGAAATTCCATGTTGGCAGTCAGATGAGAGAGGCAGCCTTCAGAATGATGGTGCTCTTTTTGCCGTGCCTCAGGCTGCTTTCGAGGTGGTTTGGGCAGCTGAATCTCATGTTTCTGAGTTGCAGACTGTAATTTAGCCAAACTCAGCAAGGTCTGTAGGTTGCTGTGGTTTGCAGCATGGTCTTGGCAGGTAGCAGATTCATTGCCTTATTCCATAGGTGCCCCACACCTATGGGGATAGACAAGAGAGGCTGCAGTCCCTTAAGTGTCCCAGGGAGTCATCCCAAATACAAAACATTGGCTGCCACACACTCCTAGGGCTGGGCACAGCTTTTCTTGTCCCAGGACACCTGGAGTTGAAAACCTCTCACCTGCACTGTCCTGAGTGTCAGAACCAACTTCTGGACCTCTCGATGACTTACTGTGGTCCTGAAACAGGGGGAAGGGCTAATTTATTCATGTAAATGAAATTATATGCTGACCTATGATCCCTGGGTGAGCTGAATCTGTCCTGTCTCTGCAGTGTGAGCAGACGGAGCAGAGGAAACATCAGGTGCTGGATGTGAGCCCCAGCCGCCGGGGGAAGGGCAAGAAGTCCACACTGCGACAAGTTGGAGATGATGCCACACGACTGGAGATCTGGATCCATCCCTCCCACCCCCGCTCCTCCCAGGGCCACGAGTCGGGCAGGGAATCCGAGCAGGACAATGGTCTTGGGAACCTCAGCCCCAGCGACGTGAGTACTGCGGGAGGCGTCGGTTGGCTTTGGTGTCATGTGTTTGGAATGCAGTGGAATGACACTGGATCTGTTTTGCTTTCCTGTTGCTAATTTTTCCAGTGTTTTGGCTTTCCCTATGGGAGCTGTGCCTGGGTCAGGCTGAGGAGCTGGTGACCTCGTGCCTCTTGTGTTTAAGGCATGTTGTTACCATCCATTTCTTGGCAGTGCGTGCTGGCGTGGCTGATGTGGAACAGGAGGGGCACAAACACAAGATGCTGTAAGATGCCTCTGCTGAGGGTTCTAAGTTGGGTGAGGTTCCCAGTGGGAAATGAGGTCAGGTGCTGGAGACCAGGCTTAACAGTGACCCTGGAAGTTCTGAAGCTTGTTCTGGAAGTGGGTCACTTGTCTCAGTGCCAGATGATCAGAGGTTTGCACTGGGAGTGTGAAGATCGTGGTTTCAATTTCCAGTGTAGGTGTTATATTTGCATTACTTGCTCTGCTGAGAGGCCAGATCAGAGCTTTTCTTTTGTATGACTTTAAAATATAGTTGACTAATGGTGTCTCGTGTCAGCCTGTCCAGCTGTACCTTGCAGGAGGAGCCTGAGGGAGCTCTGTTTGTCAGGCCCAGGAATGTGGGCGAAGGCAGTGGTGGTTGGGAGCTCATCCTCCAGGAATCCTTGTGCTGCTCTGGCACTTACAACTTGCAAGAGAACTTGCCAGGGAGCTCTGGGCTGCCTGTCCTAAAATGGCTGTTAAGGATGTGAGTTTAAGAGAACTGGGAAGACGTTCCCTGCATACTGCAGGGCCCAGAGCTCTCGGATACGATTGCACTTTTGTAACAAGTTTGTGACTTCAGCTGGGTGGAACTGGGATGAAGTCTTGGATCTTTGAAAGATAAGCTCTGGCATGTTGCTGCAGCATTTTTCAGATGTTCCTGCCCTTGGTTGTTTTCCCTCTTCTCAGCTTCTCTTTTGGAGACCTTTGCTTCCTCGGCATCATTGAAGGGAACGTGCCAAGCTTTAGCCTCTCCATCAATCATTGATGAAAGTGCTTTGACATGAGATGCTGTGAGTGTTTTTGAGGCACTGGTGATTTGTCTTTTGCTCTGCTCTCATGTGAGGTAGTGTAGCAAAGTGGGGGGCAGTGATGTCGTGTTCATAGTGCAGCACTATGTGCTGGAGCTTCACCTTTTGTCTGTTCAGTGGGGTCTCTGCTCTCTGAAATGCAGGTCCCTGGCAACACCTGTACAGAGTTGTGTGATTGCTACCCTTAGTCTTGATTTACTCATCTGTTTGAAACATTGGCTTATGGAAAGCACAAGCTTTGTGGTCATGGAGAGGCCACACCATCAGAAGTATAGTAGCAGAAGGGCAGGGGTAGCTCAGGGCCAATGTTTGGGCAGTGCTGGTTTTGATAGCCAAGATGTTTATCCTCAGGCTGCCTGTGCCTGCTGCTGGGCAGCACTCGAGTTGGCACCACTGCTTATGGGACTCTGCCATGGCCATGTCACCAGAAATAACAACAGTAACAGAGACCTTAAATCCGTGTCGTTGCCAACGCTCCCGAGCTGTGAAGCTGTGGATAGCTGGATAGAGATAGCAGCTTTTTAGGAAGCTGTGGATTCCTTCCTCCTTGAAGCTGTAGCCTCTTTCCTCCTCCGTGCAGCATCCCTGTGTGTTTCGGAGCCCCTTGCCTGGAGAGGGGCCGTGTGTGGCCGCTGTGTGGCACTGTTTGGCCTCGGATGGGCCCTGCCTGGCCGGGGCAGGCAGCAGCTCTCATCCTGGCAGCACCTCTGCCCCACATCCTCAGCCGGGCGGAAGGGAACAGCTCTGCTCCCAGGGGATGTGTGCCAGCGCTTGTGTGTCATTTTGGGGAAATGAGTCTAAATGTGTCATTGCCTCCCTGGGCCCTTCCTTGCCAGCTTTAGCCCTTGAATAGGCTCAGGGAAACCGTGTTGTTTTGTTTGTTCTGACAGCTGTGCTCTGCAGGTAGCTCCTCAGGCATCAGTGTTTATGGCAACTGTTTCTGGGCCAGAGAAGGGTATTTTACAGGGTAGAATGGGTAAGTGTTGAGATTCCAGAAGCAGATATAACACTGGAGGCATAGACCCTAGCAGGTCTGGGTGCATACTGGATGCACAGAAGTGTGGGAGACAGGCTGCTTGCACCCTTCAGACAGAAGCTGTTGCTTCAAACCCAGCCAAAATGACTGATGGTTTAACTGTGAAGATGCTGGCTGGTTTATGGATGAAAAGAAATTAGTTTGGGATGTTTTTTGTCCTCAGCAGTCACTTTCTTCATTGCTCAGGTGCTGAGGTGCCAGTCCTGTGACGTGACACGCTTGACAGGGAGATGCTGCATGGTTGGTCTCCCAGGACCTACTGACGTGTGTGCTGTCCCCATCAGTACATGCTTACACATCTCTTCTCAGTGCTGACTGTTTTCCCCTATGCAGCTCTATACAGAGGCACAAACATTGCATTATTTCAGAGTTGGGAGCCCACAGGCTGCAGTTGGTAATGTGGGATGGCAAATGTGCAGAAGGCCAGCTCACACTGCAGCCCTTGCTGTGACAAGGGAAGTTGGTGTGCAGGGCTGGCAGTTTGCCTTGCACTGTGTGTTTAGGTAGTGACTTGGCATAGCTGCTTCTTTCAGGGTTTGCTACATGATCTTTTCTAGGAAGATGCAGGACTGGAAGAACACCTGTGCACACCGAGGGGTGTAAATCTTCATTTGGCTCCTTCCCCTGTAACTGGATTGGCACTGCTGGCACAGAGGGCATGGGGCAGTTTCAAAGCAAGCTGAGGAAGTGTTTGGGTTGCAGCCTCACTGTTTTGTGCTCAGGGTTTTGGCCGTTTTGCCCACAGCCTTTTGGGGGTTCATCCTGTGAACGGCTGTTCTCTGTGGTCTTTCGTACAGTGCACATTTCCAGGTGTCAGGAGGGCTCAGGCTGACACAGTGCCCTCCTTACCTAACAATATCATGTCATTTCGAGTGCAATTACAAGAAGAAATGCAAAAAAGGAGGCTGAACCAGTGAGCAGTTGTTTTTTTAGAACCAGCTGGACAGGGCAAGGTGAGCCGAAGAGCTGAGTCTCTGCCATTTCTTCTCTGCCACTGGTTTCGTTTGCCGTGGGTCTATATTCATCTTAAATCTGATAGTACTGTATACAGCTTGCTGCACAGACTGTGAGTTGGTAAAGTAAACAGGGCAAACGGGCTGTCAGTCTCTTGAGAAAGTGCTAATATTACACTGACTTTGAGATTTTAATCACTCCTGTCAGGAAATGCTGAGTTAAGGTTCTCACAATTGCTGCTGCCTGTGCTCTGCAGTAGATACTTCCTTGTGTTACCACGCAGCATGCAGGCACTAATAAAGATTGCTCCATTGCTGCAGCTAAGATTAGGGAAGAGAGGTTTTCCCTTGGCAGGACAGTAATTGAATAATACTTCTCTCCAGATGTCTGAATACTTCAGCATCATTAAAGAATTAAGTCTCTTAGCCTATTTTCTGAGAGGTCAGTCTTGTAGAACCATCAAAAGTTTGGTAGGGCCACCCAAAAAGCTCTTGGGAATGCAAGGGCCAGAGTCAAGATCTGCTCTCACAGCCCTGGGCACTGGCTGCAGGAACATTCCCATTTTCCCCCCAGCCTGCAGGTCAGGGACAGAGGTGTTGCATTTACCTGGTGCTGGGTGCCCATGGAGCAACTGCTTCTTTGCAGTAGCAGAGAAATTGGGATGGAATCGGCTCTGGAGTTCAGAGCAGGTTTTAACTTCCATTCCTTTACACTGGCTTTCTTCTCAGCAGTACAGGGAGTGTGGACAGTGCACCATGGTTTCCTTAAGTGACCAGTAAATACCACCAGGAGGTCTAAAAAAAAAAAAAAAAAACCAACCCAAAAACCCAACAAAAAGAGGTCAAAGTTCTCTCCATAGCCTGAATATAGATGGTTTCTAACTTCTGTGTTTCTTCTTTGTTACCTACTGTGTTTGTCTTGAAAGCTTGTCAGACACACATGTGTGCTGGTAATGGGTGTGAGTGCCAGGAGACAGTGGTGATACTGGAGCTGTGAGCAGTGCACATCTTTGGGTGATTGTTTGTATTTTCTTTCAGATGAGTAGTGCCAGTCTCTTTTGGACACCTTCATCTCCTCTTTCCATCTCCCAAGTCCTAGAAAACCAGATGAGTGCCAGGCATACAGGGAAATGGTCCTCTGCAGCTGGAAGAGGGCACTGTCTTACCAAAGCTATGGATGTTGTGAGAGCTGTTCTGCTTTCTGTCCTCTAAGTCAGGATTCAGCTAAAAGGAAACTTACCCAACAATGCTTGGTTGGGGTTATCTTCACAACTTGCTATGATTTGTTTCTTAATGAGATGAGAAATTTCTAAGGATTCTCACCTTCTATATTTCTTGATTCTTATTGCCTTCTTCATTTTATTTCTGACTTTGCCTGCCTCCCTGTGCGCCATGATGCTGCGCCCACTTACACTTCTGCAGCCCAGTTACAGTCCAAGGCCAGAGAAGGCCCTTTTGGGAATGCCTGGCGAGTCCTCAGGGCTGCCCAAGTCTCTTCCTCAACCAAAGCCATGTGTCCTTAGTGAAAAGGGTCACTGTCTTTATCAACTTCTTCGTGTTTCACATCCATATCTCCTTGGTGATGTTTGTAGTTCCTGCTCTGTGCACTTGTTCCTCTTGGGCAGCCGCTGCTTGGTGACTGGGCTGGTTCCTTTTCCTGCCTGGCTTCAGTCAGGTTAATTTTTAATTTGATGAAGCTGTTTCTTGGGTTCTGCATGTGGAGAGGGGTGATTCTAGGGAGCAATGGCACAGAGCCTCATGTTAGTCTGGTGAGGTTTTCTTGGCCATTCTGCTCCGTCAGCCTGTCCTTTGCCTGGATCAGTCCCACACGGGAGCAGCAGTAACCTGTGTTCGGAGCTGGGGTTGCCTTGGTGTCGCTGTCTCTGCTCCCTGGGAGTGTCTGATGGGTTAAAAGGCTTGTTGTGGTGTGAGCTGAGTGTCTGA